ACATAAGTGCTCCTGCGATTGAAAGCAACTGAAAATACCCAGTTACTCTCAGTTGCACACGTGCTCTATATTCTAGCAATTCAAGGCAACTGAAAATGCTAACAAAGTTATGTCTACCAAAATAATTTGACATGGTTGATGTAAAATGTAATGGTGTTTGCAAGACTTGTGAAATACTTTATTTCATGTAACAAATCATAAAAGCCTATTATAATGCCTATTGTAGTCATAATAGGAAGCTTATACAAATGTACAACCATTGACCATTGGCCATTTTGCGATTTTAGTAAACATTCTTTTCAGACATCATTTATAGGTCATTAGAACATGCTGCTGGAAATAAATCCAGTTAATATTGGCGTTATTAATGTGATTAGCAAAATTGAAGTTTCGCTAATCACTAGCAGGGAAACAGTTTTAATTGAAAATATTTAGCCATAACAATTAGTCTGTATTCTGAGGGAAGTCTGTACAAACATGTTTTATTTTAAATGGTAGGTAAACAAAGGTAATTGATTTTTAGGTACAAACTTGAATACAGTTATAATAATTAATAAATTTCGAAATGTAAATGTATTTATAGCAATTGATAGCCAATTAAGTATTTGCATATTATTCTCTTTGTTTTCCATTTTGATAACAACATTCATTGCTTTATAATAACTTATATACTTATATTATGGTTATATAGATGTATGGATTATTGCTTTTATTTTTACATTTTGAAAAGGTATATATATTTTTTTAGTGAATTTAGTTTGCTTTGGCAATAAATATGCCAAGTTTATAGACCCACGCAATACAATTGATTGGCGACCGTTTTTGAGGGTTTCACGAAACATAATACATGGAGGGAACCCTAATTATTTAAGGTAAATCTCAGAAACAGAAACTATCTTTGGATAATTCTGTCACAGAAATTAATGACTGTGTTCAATACAAAATTTATGAAAATGTGGGACTATGGTACTGTGTATCGACCTCCATCTATGAAGTTGTGTCCCTGCCCCCTCCCCCCATTTCCTGGACTGCCACTGACAAAAGCATTTAATACTGTTTATATTATATCTTCAAAATCTATTAAGACCTCAAAAAATCAAAAAAATCTGGGCTCGATGGAGCTCCGCCCACTCAACCTCAAAAAGGTTCTGTCGCTTGGTAGCCCATAGTCATTTTCGTCCACCTTCCACAAATTTGCACCTACCCAATAAAAACCTGTGTACAGGACTGATTTAGTATTAATGTCTTACACGTTGTTTAATATTTAGTAGGCCTGTATACCTCTATCAACATTTTTTCAAATCTGTTGATCTGAAATGTTTTCATAATATGCCAGTGCTATCATCTCAGATAACATAATAATTTGGTTCAGTATTTTAATTTGTTTGAACCATTAAGATATTTATTGGATCTATTGCACTGAACAACATAAATTAATATAATATTTACCTTAAAATTCTCTGTTAAGTTTTAGGTGTGCATGAAGTGTCTGCAAAAATAGAAATGGGTTTTTCCAGGTTAGTCATGTGACCTTATAGGCTGGTTTCTTTGTGAGTGCAATCAAGCGTGAGATGATGAAATCAGTCATGCAGTGACTTAGAACTGCTGTAAAGTTCAGGTACTGTAGTGTATTCATTGTTCTAGCTGATATCAATCCAAGTCAAACTTATATTCAGGTTACAGTTAAAAATAGGCTCCCAGTGGGAGCATGTGTCTACTGCCTTATACAGGAGTTTTTATTTTTGAATTTAATCTTACGTTCTTCAATATGCAGATGTGTTTGTCATTGTAGTGTATCTGAATTTTTCGTGAAAATTGTCTTTCATAACAATATTCTTTATACTACTAGGCCCAGTATTATATTATTGCACTAAAAACACTAAAAAAGATTAACTTGGAGTCACCGCGTTATATCGTTGATCTTGAAAAGTACTACCATATTCTAGATGGCGTCCTTTAAATGATGGTTAAAGGCGTTTGTGGCGAACGCGTGCTGCGTCTCTGTAACGCATGTTCGAGTTTGAACGCAATTATGTTCGAATTCCAAATGCTATTCGATTTTCAGTAGAGCGCCCCCACCTGGTGGTAGTAGTACCCATCATTCCTCCACCGGATTTACTCTTTTCTGCCATCTTTAATTGCTACATCATGACATAGTGTCTATGGCCCCCGATGGGGGCACTTGGACATAAAAACAATTCTATTTATGTTTACAAATGTGTAAAAAATGACAAACAAAAATCAATGATCAATCAACCAACAATTTAAACATTTGATTTGGTTAAATTTACATATGTATAAAGACTAAACAATTAAAATTATATAAAAGGCAGAATAAAAATGTGTATAAAGACCATTGATAATTAATGAAAAAAATTAAAAGAATTAAGTAATATAAAAATAATATAAAAATCAAAATTTAAAAGTCATTCAAAAATGAGGGTACAAATAATAACAATAAAATAATAATTCAATAAATGGATCCTCATCCATGCAATTAAAAACCCTTTATTACTTACAGTGCACAGTACTGAAATTGGAAATATCATTAGAAAACAACATTTAACAAATCTTGAAAATGACCTACTCTGTAACGATTATGATACATGGACACTTTTTTTCAAGAACAAATGATGATATTAAAATTAAATTATTTAAATTATATAAATTATTCAGTCTTCTAATATTTGTGATACCTCTATTTTTGATAATTTCTGTAAAAATACATCATGAATGCTTGGGAGAAACGCTCACAACCAAAAAAATTCACAACAATAGTATAAATGTATTGTTGCTTATCAAATTGTGTAATGTTAATGTTTTTTTTTTCTTTTACACCAAAAATGGATTCTACATCGTAGTCAGCATTTCTTAAGTAGTCCTACTCTGGTATAATCTTTTTGTTGTAAGACGTTTTAATCTTTAGATTTTATATTTTTAGGTTAGTTATTTTAAGTATTTACATTACAGTAGACCTGTATTTCTGAGTATGAAATGTGATTTTTTTATCTCATCTTTTATCTCATTAAATTTTATCCATTTCATCTGTTGCTGTTGTGCAAGTCCCAGCCATCCCATTGGCATTGTGAAGCATCATTTTAATATGCATAGCAGGCTTAGCATGGGGAAATGTTTAATATTTTTCGGATAAAATTCCACACTATTATAAATGATGTGATGAAGAGGCCTAGCAAACTTACAGAGAGTGATACGCAAAAAAAAAATGTGAAGGTCTAGAAGTTTACAGAACTCTGTTTTGCTTGTTTTGATCCTAATGCACATTAAATTATTTTTTTTTTTGCAGATCTGAAAATATCCAGATATCAATAATTGTCTTTGAAAGAATTAGCAGGCTATGGCAGAATTTGAAAAAATAGTGCAACATAATATGGAAAAGAATTCTGAAATTGAATTTGAAATAGGTGTGTAATTTATAACATTGTTCCTTATTAATATGGATTGAATGAGAACATAATACATTTTTTGTTTTATTTAATATTTATTTTATTTCAATTGAAAAAATTAATAAATAAACCATTTTTTAAAATTTTGTTTTTTATTTTTTATTATTATTTATTATTTTGTACATTATGGATTTAATCACCATAAACATAAATATAATTTGAAAGATTTTAGAAAATTTATGAACATTTATAAATTTTAGTCTTAGTGTGTTTTGTCTTATTCAATGTGCGAATAAGCACCCCATTTGAATAAGTGCCCCTCTTGAATACTCGCCCCTACTAACATGAAAATTTCCTTAAGTGCCCCGTTTGAATAAGCACCCCTTCTAATTTGAATAAGCGTCTCCTAAAATAATATCATAAGATTTTCTTTTTAGCAAGTCAATAATTCAATCAATTCTGGGACTGTGGTTTTGGCATGATTTGAGCTGCAGAGTGGAATCACATTCTTCTATAGGCCAATATCAAAATGAGGATTTCTCTCGGGCAGATGAGAGCTCCGATCCCTACACAGACAGTATATTTCCAACTTTCCTCTTACATAGTAATTTGTCATCCAATTATCTGCTATTTTGCTGTTATGTAAATATTCACAGCATTCTTGTCATGAGCCATGTTCTCTGGACGACTTTCTTTTCCGCCTAACCACCATTCGTAATGTCCTTATATAATCCTTTTTAAGCCAAAAAGTGCCTTTTGAATTTAATTTCCCATAAGAACTCTTCATCTATTTCCATAAGCACCCCTTCAATTTCCACTCTGTTTCATAAGCGCCCGTTTAAATAAGCGCCCGGTTTAAATAGGCGCCCCTCAGAAAGTGCAAAAAATATTTAAAATGCCTGGGCGCTTATTCGCGCGAGTACGGATTCAATTTTGAATTTTAAATCAAGAAAACTATGCACTTTCTATATATTTATATATATTTTAACATGGCCTCCCATTACAAAAAAGGCTTCTTCAATAACTAATACAGCACAGTAATCTTATCATTTACTTTTAAACTTATATAATATTGAGCGTTAGCAGATTGCTCTGATTTTTTTCTATATCTTTTTATATTTTAGACACTTGCAGTGATTTTTCCAGCAATGAAGAAAGTAAAGGCAGACCTAATGAAACATGCTTAATTTCAGTTAAAACAGAATATTCTGTTATTGAAAATTGTCATCTAAATTTGTTTCCTGTTAATATTATGAGGAGAAAAATATGAATGAATGCAATGAAGTTCAAAAAAAATTTGAAATGTCTAGCAGTTCAGAGAAAAACATACAAACGTGTGAAGAGGTAAAATATAAATGTGAACATTGTGGAGATTATTTTAATTTAATTAATTTGAAAGCACACAAGGGGATTAAAACAGAAGATGCACCATTACAATTTGAACAATGTGGAATACAGCCATTACATGAATGTGAACATTGTGAACAGAAATTTAAAGACAGTATTAGTTTAAAATCACACATGATGATGCACAAGCGAGACGCACCATACAAGTGTGGAAATAAATTTTAAAATGGTATAACTTTGAAAACACGTATGAGGATACATAAAAGATCACATGAATGTGAATATTGTGGAAAAAATTTTAGTAGAAATGACACTTTAAAAACACATTTAAGAATACATACAGGACAAACACCATATGAATGTGAACTTTGTGGGAAGAAGTTTAATCATTTGGGTCATCTGAACAGACATTTAAAGATACATGCAGAAGAAACATTACATGAATGTGTGCATTGTGGGAAAAAAATCAAACAAATGAGTGATTTTAAAGTACATTTAAGGACACATACAGGAGAAAGACCATATGAATGTGAACATTGTGGAAAGAAGTTTCGTGAATTGGGTCATTTGCAGAGACATTTAAAGATGCATAAAAGAGAAGCACCATATGAATGTGAACATTGTGGAGAGAAATTCAGACTCGGTCATGAAAACACATTTGAAGATACACAGAGTAGAAATGCCATACAAATGTGATCTTTGCGAAAGAAAATTTAGATACTTTAGCCATTTGACAGCACATTTAATGTTACATACAGGAGAAACACTGTATGAATGTGATCAATGTGAAAAGAAATTCAAAGACAGTACCACTTTGAAATCACATGTAAGGACACATACAGGGGAAAGACCTTATGAATGTGAACATTGTGGAAAAAAGTTTAGTAGAAGTGACACTTTGAAAACACATTTAAGGATACATACAGAAGAAAGACCATATGAATGTGAATATTGTGGAAAGAAATTTTTATCAAAATAGCAATTTGAAAACTCATTTAAGGATACATACAGGAGAAAAACCTTTTGAATGTGATTATTGTGGAAAGAAATTTTATCAAAGTAGCAATTTGAATACTCACTTGAAGATACACAAACGAAAGCAATCTTTATGAGTGTGAAAAGAAACTAAACACAGTATCAATTTGAAAACTCATTTGAGGATTCAGAAGAGAAATCACTTGAATGTGAACATTTTGAAACATTAGTGATTTGAGGCTGCAAATAGGAAAAATGTGATCATTGTGAAAGGAGATTCCATGCAAGTGTGGTAATTGTGGAACAAATTTTTAATCAAATTTGAACATTGAAAAACATGTGTATTAATAACATACAGCACAGACACCATGTGTATGTGAACATTATGGAAAAAGTTCAATCTGTATAACACTTTAAAAAACATTTAAGGATACATATAAGAAGAGAGACAATTATAAATGCGACATTTGTGGAAAGAAATTTAGGAACAGTTTAGCACTTTGAAAGTACTTTACATTTGAGAGTGTGCATACAGGAGGGAAGCCATACACAATGTTAAGAATTCTGTAGGTAAAATGATTATCTGAAAAGAAATTTGATATCATATTTTTAACAATGTGGAAGAATTTGAAAAGAATGTTTATGCAATTAAAAGAACACTTGTGTACATACCAAACATAAATTGGAAGAAACATGAATCTAATTAATTTGAAGTTATGCTGTAGTACTGTACCTAGCAATTTTAAAAGACAGCTAAGAAAATATAAGGGATGATTTTGCATTGGTAAGAAGAATTTAAAGACGTATAATTTGATCTTTTCCTATCCTTGATAAAATCTTTTAGAGAAATAGATAATTTTATTAAATTTATCATAGTATTGTGTAGACTGGTTTCCAGTCCCTAATCTTTCTCTTAATCAGTTGAAATGCTTAAGAACAATATCGAATTTGGCACAAATGGCGTTCCATATTACTTATTTGCATGGCGTTCCATAGTATACTTTTCAATTCTCATCAAAAAAGTTTCCCAACATAAACTGACGCTGGTGGCGCTTTCCGAAATGCGCTAATACTAAGAAAAACTTATCCATAAATTAGAGACTTGTGGCAAGTCTAAGTATTGTGCTGTATTTTAGTGCAAAATAAACTTGGTTTCCATTCCAAACTGGGTAGTTAAAACAGGTAAACAGGTACAGTACTTGTTTTAGTAAAATTTAGTGTAATTGAATCCACAACTGAAGAAGAAAAAAATAGCTGATAGTAGTTGTTTTGGTGCTTGATGTTGGTCATTTACTATACAGTATTTATTTAATTCACTCAATAAAACTGAGTTATCATCAAATGGAATATCTGTCAGTTAATTTACCAGTGTTGATGAAAATTTTGAAGAAAAAAGTCAGTGATTAAAAAAAATATGTAGGATGTTGCTGTACATACAAGAGAGATGTCATGTGAATGTGAATTGAGGTTTAATCAAATTGGGATACACATGGAAGAGACGTTATTCTGAATGTGTGTGTGGGTTTTTTTTTGTTTGTTTTTAATATGTTTAAATGCATGCATCAATTTTGAGATCACACTTGATAATACAAGAGAGGGAGATCATGTGAATTTTACGGGGAATTTTCTTATCATTTTTTTATATCGTCTGCAAGTCAAGACTTGGTTTATGCACAAGTGCAGATGCTTTATTTCTAGGTTTTTATAAAACAATACCACTTTTAATTTACATCAGTTGTTTACATCAACGTGAAGGTATTATTGCATGCATTAATCAATGCAATTTAACAAAAGATGCACATCTCCACACGCGAACATTGTACATTATTGATACATAAAACGATACAAGTTGCGAGTACAGCCGTTGGTTATTAGTCTGTGTGTCATATATTTTGATGGTGTTACTATTTTATTATTATTTTTTTCGCAATGTCTGTTACATCTGATTTGTTTTGACCACGAACTTTTTAAGTGCTTCTCTATAAACTACAATTTGATTCGTGAAAATTGACCAACAAAATTAAAAGTTAAAGCAAATGAAAATTTACTAATTTTTTTTTTGCATTTCAACAATGTTGTGACAAAAGGAAAATTTTCGAGTAGATACAGAAAAATAATGTTTTCTGCGGCAAACGTGTGTCTCATTAACCACTGGACGCCACCTCATCTATACTAAATAATTGTTGAAATAAGGAATATAATTGCAGTATGATGTTAGTGCAAAAAGTCATTTTGCGCGATTCCCATGGCAACTGACATGCACGTGAAGATGCCAAGTTCAGTACAGTACAATTTCCCACTCATATATACTTTTCCGGTCAAGACAGCACATTTTTCCCCTTCTTAAATCATCTTAATCATCTGAGCGCATTAACAACGTTTTACACCTCATCCACCTCTACAATACTTTCGACCATGAGAAATTAAAAAGAACATTTTACAATTAAAACAAAAAAAAGTGCCAGTAAAATCGGAACTTTAGTATCCCGGAATCGTGGAAGTGCCTTTGAATGAAAGGTCTCTCAAATATATTTTATGTAATTTACGTTTTTTTCTCAATTGTTTTCTGGGGCGGATGCAGGATTTAGCGATTGGGGGTGCGTGCAAGAGCGCAGATCTGTTTTTAAAGGTGGGGGGACATTTCGTGGAAATAGTACCTGTAGATGGCCGGATGTATCATAGAAAATAAAACTACATCTCAGCCCCACCATTTGGCGCGGAGGTGGTAACATTTGGGGAACTACAAATAGTTTCTCTAGATGCCGGATATGACACTCAGTCTTATATAGTAAAATTCATCATCATCGATCTAATTCATATCATTGATCGAGTTCCTAGTCCACATATCAAGCACCCTGAGCATCTTACATTAGATGGATGTGCGCTATATAAAACTACACTATTATTATTATTATTATTATTATTATTATTATTATTATTATTATTATTATTATTATTATTATTATTATTATTAATTAATCACTGTTATCTACCCTATTAAAACTTATCTTTAAAGTATTTACTATTTTACTACCCACGGCGTTCTTCGCCAATGTCACCTTAAAAATATGTGGGGTACGTGTCCACTGCCCCTATGATCTGCGCCCTTGGGTGTATGAGAGTCCACACCACCTCAGTCCCAACATGGTTGGGGTGAGGTGCGAAAGTTGTGAGAATATAGACCTCTCTGGGTGCCCGTAAAATTGCACTCTCATACCTTAAAAATCTTGCCAATAATTAATGTACACAATCCAATATAATACAACAATTATTTTTTTCAACACAATTAAGGGGTGCGCCAGCATTTTACGTAAATCCCCATCTATTAGTTATGAACCCCATAAAGATGTATTTAGTGGATATGTACAGGGACGGCCTACGGCCTACCTGACTTTCTGTTGGTCTTTTAATCTTGCACACGTTACTCTTATCTTCAAAAGGATTAAAAGAAAATATGGAAGGATATGAATTATAGGGGCGTCAGCAGGAATTCTTATTCAATGTGGGTGTGTGTGTAGCATAGGCCGCGTCCAGGGTGCCGCCAAGGCCAAGGGATTCCATCCAACTCAACTATGCCTAAATGCTACTAAGACCTACGCATGGAAAAAATTATCTGACCATTTTCAAGAGTGGAAAACCTTGAATTTTGAAGAACTTAATTATTTTTTAAGTTCTTCAAAATTCAAGGTGTTCCCCTCTTGAAAATTATTATAATGAATCAATGAACCCAGAGAAAGGGAGGTTCGAGTTCTTCTCTGGAAAATGTTGATTTCTAAATGGTGGACAATGAGATTTCCCGACTTTTGAAGTATTTTTTAATGACTTTAATGTAAAAGACACCTCAGAAGTCGGGAAAGCTCATTTCCCGCCTTCTAGGAATCAAAATTTTCCTGGGGAAGAACCCCGGACCTTCCTTTCTTTTTGGGATTCATCTCATGGAAAAAATCGTATGCAACTACTCAATTTTTAAAAAAAATGTATTTATACACACATAACAGGCTTATTTACTGTAATGAGAAAGTTTACCTTACCGTTTTCATGAGGGGGAAAACCTTGAATTTTTTAATGTTAAAGCTTGTGCTTGCTCTCCTTTGCCTTCTAAGTTATAACACATAGTACCAAACTCAAGAAAGAAAATTTAAGATAGATCGTTTTACCTAAAAGAAGGCCTCAATGTGTAATGATGTTGAAAGAATATGTTTGTAATAAATAAAGCCATAAGGAAAATGCTTATATATGGCCACACTCGTTTTTTTAAACTGAATATAACATAAGAGCATTTCTTGTTGAGGTAGGCCAATTTCCTCTAAAAATTGCACATTTAGGGAGTTTTGATCAATTCCGACGAAATTAGAATTAAAACATAAATATTTTTCGCGGGCTTCGCGCGCATTTCTTAGGGTTAAAGCTTGTGCTTGCCCTCCTTTGCCTTCTAAGTTATTTAAAAACATAATAGTCAAAAACTTGAGAAAGAAAATTTAAGATAGATCGTTTTACATAAAAGAAGGGCCTCAATGTGTAATGATGGTGAAAGAATAGGCCTATGATTGTAATAAATAAAACCACGATGAAAATGCTTATATTTAGTTTCAAACACACATGTGTGCCCTATATTAACAATAAAATAAGCTCTATGTCGTATTGTTTTCTATATGGGGTGGGGGGTATCACACCAAGTCATAAATTACTAACCGGGAAAATTATTACCTTTGCCCCCCCGGCGGGCCCCCCGCTTCCGCCGGCCATGAAGGCCAAGGGATTCCATTCAACTCAACAATGCCTAAATGCTACTAGGACCTACGTATTGTACTGGCTAAAGGCCTATCCACCTCTTGCCTATCGTTGAGTTACAAATCTTAAGAATCTATCATTGTATAATTGCAAAAAAAAAAAAAATAACCACACAATTGATAAGCACATCGCGACGTATTGATTGTTTTCTATTTGGTGCTTTAAATGGAATTCAGACTAGGGTCGTAGCGGCCGCGAATCTATTAGTCAACAAATTTATAGATAGTAAATAAATAAAAATGAATAAGTATTCATGATGTGTGAATGCTTGAAAAGTGGCGTCGAGAGGGGGTCAGGGGGGTCGCTGCCCCGGGGCCCGGATCTACTGGGGAGACCGGACGAAGATGAGGTGTGAGGTGTTGTCCCCGGGCCCTTACTGGCTCTCGACGCCACTGTGCTTGCATTTGATGCCGAGTGTGATCGCGTGTAGTAAATGAAACAGTACATGTATTTCTTTTATTTATTTATTTTTTTTGCGGATTGGGCTTTCCATACGTTTCGAGTAATTGTTTTTTTTAACCCCAAACGCGGTAAACTCGATTTGTCACTGTTATCGTCGAGGCGAGAACTTGATAGAATTCGTCACCTGGGAGGTCTAGCCTAGGCCTAGTGGACAAACACGGAAATTCAAGAATCCATGGTAATTATTAGTGTTTAAAAGGACTAGCCAGCCAGTATACCTGATCCACTAGTAATTCATGTTCAATCAAAAATAGATGGCGACCGTGCTGATCCCCTGTGTTGTTTGCGTGGCTCTCCCAGTCAGTCTCGGCTACTAAACTACTACTCTAGGCCTAGGGCCCAGGTCCTAGCCTAGGGCCTAGCCTATGCCTATATAAGCCTAGGCCTAGGCTGGTAGTCAGATCGCATACCTAGGCCTAGGCTCAATAACTATATACGTACTGAATTATCGTTCCGACAAAATCAGATCAGAAGGTGACAAATTGTCAATTTGTTAGCTCAAAATAGGGAAGTAGCTAGGGTAGGCCTAGTAGTAATTCGTAAATTTAACTTGCACAAGGAACCTGTTGTTCACAAAAGTGGATCTTTTTTCCGCATGAATTAGCATCCCATGCGCTTGAAGTAAATTTTGATCAAATCTGCTAGAAATGGCATTTGCTTCAAGTGGCATCCGCTCGAATTGACGGGTTCTCTTATTATTAGACCCATGCTCCTTGTTACAGATAAATAGATAATTGTGGCGTAAAACACATTTAGTTCGATTTGATGTTTCAAATGATTATGTTTGTGATTTCATGATTTTATGCATTGCAATGCGCCTATAAGGAAATGTTTTTTGGATATGCGGTGCAATATAAATGCTTTTTATTATTTCATGTATTATTATTACAGTATTATTATTATTATTAAATTATTATTGTTATTGTTAAATTGTTATTATTGTTACTGTAATTTCGTAGATTTTTATTTTTTTGTCTAATGCTAACATGATTAATGTGAATTTCATCCATGTAACTTTCATATTTTAACCAGCATTCTGATTTCCAATACATTTCTCCTATACTACGAGAATATTCTGCCTACCAGGGTAGTGCGCTGCCAGCGTTTCAGGTAGGCCAATGTATAAACATTGCAAGGGGTATATAATGTATTTTTTTCTATTTTTTTCAGTGTTTAAATACTATAAAGGGAATAGGATTAACAATGTCAGTAATATTTAAGGTATTATAACTATGAATTCTGTGGCTGAAAACATTGACTCTCTTGGCAAACATTTACTTGGTTCTACACTGCTTGGCCCACATCTGGTCCAGCCTGTTATTACCGTTGCAGAGTGTAAACGCCGTTTGAGGACATGTGCATTTAACAGTCTTTTTCGATATCAACCAGGGCCGCATAATGCAACCAAAATAGTGTGCAACGAAGGGGGATTTAGTGTCTATGAGAACTTGCTGGTGAATGTTTACAAATTGAGGGAAAGACGATTGTATGATGGCGCTAGCCGACTGGAGGAGCTCGTTGAAAAGCTTGCTGCAAAAGATGAAGGTTAGTGAAAGGAGCAACATACTATAGAGATTTCACAATTTTAAAAAAATTGAGAAAAAGAAAATTCTACTCAAATTTTGAGTCTTAAGAGTGCCATTTCCGGCCATCCAGACGTGCCATACTTATAAATTTTCTTACATCAGCCCCAACCATAGGCCCCTATAGATTATCCATCTCTGAAAGCCCCTCTCTGCTTTTATTTGAAGCACATAAATCAAGGCTTTCATTTTCACTGATATCTAATGTTCAGATTTTTTACAAAAAAACAATGCTTAAATTGATTACCAGCCAATGCAGTACAGTAATTTCGCGTTATAATTTCTAGGCCCCACTTAAAACGCTGACTATGTAATTTATGATAGTCATAGACAGTAAAGGGGACTCAACCGCTATGATGCTGAGAGATTGGCCCTTTGATTGCCAAAGCCTAGGAAATAAGCCTAAGTCTAATTGGTGGGTACTCTTTTCATTACATTTTTTTAGAATCTTTGTATGATGTATACTGTATAAAACAAATAATGACTGCTCTAGTTTCGGAAAACGGTAAACCTATAGCCCCGAGGTGATGTGGAGACTGTAGTCAGCCTACTATCTTCCAGATCGATTAAAAGGAATCTCCTCTTTACCTACAGATCTTAGTACAGAAACAAAAGCTCTTTTACAATTACTCTTGTTGTTGGCTGGTAGTGAAGAAACAGGGGCAGAAGTACCTATTGGCCACAAACCTCTTAGGTTACCAATTTCAACGCAGGTAAACAAGGTAAAGTACACTAATGAAATATATGCCCCAAATATAATGAAGCTAGAAGCATCTTGAATGTTTTAATACATTAACTAAATAAACAGTGGCATGGTTTAATACTCCCCTTACATTTATGCCTTGGTTGCCACAACAAAAAAGGACAAACAAATTATTTTGGTTCAAATATAATAGCCATAATAAGTATCAGAATTGAACAAAATTTCCAGAATCGGCCTGGGACATACCCTTATCAACTCCCATCATTGCTTTTCCTCTGGTCTGTCAAAAATAGACTTTTCCCTTGATTGCCCCTGTCTCTTATACACATCTAGATGTGTATAAGAGACAGGTATTATTCTTGTCAGGTGCATGATATTCAGCTTAATGGCTATGCACACTATTCTAGGTATGATTCCACTAGGCCAAATTAAAAAAAATTGTGTTGGCCACGACCGACCAACCGACCGACCCAAAATGTATGAAATTGAGGCTCGGCATTTTGATTTTTTGTATCCCTTTTTTTTTTTTTTTTTTTACTACACTACAAAAAAAAAAAAAAATCCTACCAACCTACCCAATTTTTTGATTTTCCAAAACATGGCCAACACAAGATTTTTTTAATTTTTTTTGTTGGCCCTATATAAATATGTTTCTATTATAAGAATACTGTTGATTTCTATAATAAATATGTTAACTCCTGCATATATTGATTAAATATTGAGAAAGAATTTTCAGAAAATATGGGCTGATTCCTGTATAAATTTTGCATAGCAAGCATTGGCGGTTTTTTAGCATAATTTTTGCAAGGAGGATATTATTTGCTGCACTTATTTTACATACAGTCCAGCCCTAGCTGACTCGAGCATAGTAAACGGTTACACATTTGCCATACTTTTAAGTTTTTTAATTGTGTGGAGTATACAGTTTCTCAAAAACCAGCTCAAATTTGTGCGGAAAATTACTAGGAATATAGGTGTGCAGAATCGTAATTACTGCATAATACATTGTTTATACATCAAGATTAGGTCAAAACCTTATTTTCGGTAAAATCTGCGTGGAAATCACCCATTATTTTTCGAAACGTTCAGACATATTTTTAGGTCACTCTTTTGTACGGAGGATATACTCCCCTCACGGGGTTTACTTTAGAGTCTTTCACATTTGCACTAGCACAGGTGATTAGGTGCTGAGAGGTTGAGGCCAACGTAGCTCCCTCAGGAGAAGATTCAATCCAGGTTACGTTGTGAAAATAGAAGTAGCAGCCAGATAGTGTTGTCAGACCTTTAAGTTAAGTTCACATGAAGCCCGGATCCGGTCCGGAGCCTCGGACAAAAAATCATGAGTTGTTACGTTTTTTGTAAAGTGTACAAATTTAATGTGAACAGTCCTATTCTTTACCACTGAACCCATTTTTCACGATTTTCTGTCCGCGCACCGAACTGGATCCGTTCTTGGTGTGAACGTAGCTTAAGTGTCATTGATATATTTTCACCCTGTTGCCAATATAATGATTCTACTTGAATCTACAGGGAACTTTTTGAATGCGCAGGGAACAGAGCCGATAGGATGGGCCAACAACATAATCTGGATACATTGGTAGGCTGAACATTTTGTTTCCTGGCTTTGTGCGCTCCAAAATTATATGTGATAAACAACTGTGATAGGTCTATATTTGTGTGTAAATATGACAATATCATGCCCGAATATGGGCACATCACAAAAATTTGTCATGTAAAATTTGATAATGTAGACTTATTTTTTACTATTTTATTCCTTTACTTGTAACTACACCTGGAAAAAATTGTTTGTGCTCCAACCATGAAGATTATTGACATAATATACCTAGTGTACTACACAATATATCATTTGTACACTACAATAATGCTAACCCAGTTTTGTTGTAACACTTTGTTATTAAATGCTCGGGTAAGATTGTGAAACAATACAACATCGTTTTTTTTTACGATCATGATGACTATAATAATTTTTTTTAATATATTGGAAATTTACTACCATTTAGTAGATCAATTCAAATTATTGGGGGACCCATCTGGAAATAAATACTTTATTTGGATTTAGAGGGTTATCTCAGATATCAACATTGATGACTTGTTTTCTCAATTTTGTTTCATTGTATTCAGTTGTTCAGGTTTTGTGATGTTATTCAGTTGATATCAAATAAATAAAATCAAATCAAAATTGTTACTTCAGGTTTTTCAAATGGAACCCGGAAGAAATCTACACGGCCATGAGCTCTTCCTTGTCAAGGTAACAAATGCTTATATTCAAATATTCTGGACAGCGAATGAAAGATGAAAATGGAGGCCCAGAAGAGGAGTGGAGAGTCCTAGGCCCAATATATTCCTACAAAATAATTACAAAACGAGTAATTTCATCGCTCCACCTGTCTGTTGATGTTTTAGCTTGTAGGCCTTGGACATGAACAATAGTTTTTAAAGTTCGCGAGTAATATGATCGTGGTTCAACCTGAAGGTCACGTTTCACCTGATAATCGCTTTTTGTGTTGCTGCTAAATAGTGCACCGTCAAAATCAGTTATTTGCTGTTCAAACATGCTATACATTGCGTGTTGTTAATCAATTTTTTTTTATCGCTTTTTTCGAACTGGTCCCGTTTCTACTGCAAGAAAAAAAGTGATTTTCGATTGATTTTTTCCTTCCAGTAGAAACAGGCCCTTAAAAACCTTATGGAATGCTTGCCCTTGTCAATTTCATGATAAATTTTGTTTAGAATGAATAAATAATGCATTAATTAAATACATCATCACAGAGTTATTTCCCTCTCTTAAATCATCAATTAACAGGTGTCTGATGGGGCAGTGCAGCATGTATGACAGCATGCAGCACGTATGGCAGTTAGCAGTGCAGCACGTATGGCAGCATGCAGCACGTATGGCAGTTAGCAGTGCAGCATATATGGCAGTTAGCAGTGCAGCATGTAAGGTAGTTAGCAGTGCAGTATGTATGACAGCATGCAGCATGTATTACAGTTAGCAGTGCAGCACTTATGACAACATTCAGCACATATGGCAGTATGCAGCACATTATGGCAGTTAGCAGTGCAGCACGTATGGCAGCATGCAGCACGTATTGCAGTTAGCAGTGCAGCATGTATGACAGCATGCAGCACGTATGGCAGTTAGTATTGCAGCATATATGGCAGTTAGCATTGCAGCACGAATGACACCATGCATGCAGTATTTATGGCATTTAGCAGTGCAGCATATATGACAGCATGCAGCACATAATGCCAGTTAGGAATGCAGCACATATGGTAGTTTTGACTATATATTATTTATTGAAAATTGCAATTATGGTCGTACTATCTTGGATGTGATTAGTTAAGTATTTTCTGTTTCCTGTCTTGTGTACCATTCTGTAAGTGGCGGATTTGTGTCTGCTGTTGATTTGGTTGATAAATAAATAAAATTTAGGCTCATAATATGCAATGATAACCACCAAGAAAGTCACTGAATTTTACGATTATCTGTTTCTCAGCTTTCCTAAGCCCGCCGAGAGGCCATATCTGTCAGAGGCTGGCCCAGATGCATTGGACTATTTATACCATCTAAGAAAATATGAGTTAACCCTAGTAGAGCCTAGCATTCAGGTTCAAAATCAAGTTGAATTAACACAGTCAGATCTTGTGAAAGATGGACTCAATATACTACTTGCAATTCCTTCAAGGACTTTCCAATTTGAAAGGGTAAGAAAAACCTGTCTGATAATAACAATAGAGTTATAGCTGGCCTTCAAATTCCACGTTTCTTGGCTCAAACCTTCCAAAATATCAATTTCAGTTACCATATTTAGTAATGACATGCCTAACCTGTCACTCTTCGCAAATTGTGTTTCTGAGATAATGATCAAAACATGTTGGATTGTCAAAGTTTTTGAAATCTATTTTATTGCACGAAACTAGAAATGCTATGTTATTATTTTCCCTATTTTGACATTAAAACAACATTTTTTTACAATTTGGTGATGGTCGCTGTCGATGTCTGATATCTTAAACTTTAAAGGTTGATTTCTCAAATACTGTTTTTAAACAGCTGTATATTTTTACTCCTCTAACTTCATAACGAAATGTCAGATTTCAATGATTCTTTTACCATTTTTTATAACGTTTCACTGCTTAACCTTGTATTAATAACTAAAAGTAAATTTTTTGTGAGGAGTGTCTGGTTTGGCCTGCCCTTGCCGCATATTTTAATATTTTTGTTATCCTCCTCTCCTAATCATGAATCATTTTTTATTTTCTTTTTGTGAAACAGGAAACTTCATCCTTCCATGTAAACTGTAATATTCACTACAAGGGAACATCACCAGAGATGTTAAGCCAGAGCTTAGCACCCCTAGCTGAGGCTGGCACTCAGTACTGGCAGCTTAGTCAATTTGCAGTGCAGCGCTCGTTAGACTCGATGTACACCGGGGGTCTGACATTACAAGCATTTTGTAGTGGCATACGCACCTTCCTACAGTTGTATAGTTCACGAGTGTTAACTGTGCCGTGGAATAGTCATTCCACTATTAGTATGGTCCGACATGCTTTCAGAGAATTCATCGCCCAGCTAAGGTACAGTATATATTGATGTATTTGACAAAACCCACAGTATTGACATCGGGGTGGTGGTGTGGAATGATTTGTGGTGGGAGTAGTTGTAAGGGTTAAGTAGTGGTGCTGGCTGGAGAATTACATGATTTGGTTCAGACCACTTTGTTACGCCACAGAAAAGATGTTTACTAAATTTGTGCATTTCATTTACACTTTGTATTTTTTTTATAGATATTTATGGATGTTCTGTATGTGCCACAGAAGGAGGTTTGGCAGACCTGGAGATCCCGGAGATCCTCTCCCTACTGGAATTCAACTGCTCTCCTACATTTACCAGGAAGCCCTGGATTGTTGCAAGTCCCAGAATTACAAAGTGATATTGGCACTGCTTCGGACTACTTGCGGGCCGTATCTCATGTGAGTGAATCTCTAGCGCCCTCTATATTAACTCTTCAGAGGTAGAGTAGTATTTGGTGATCTGTGTTCGTTAGTTCTGTTGAGGGAATCATGCAGGAAATTTTCATTTTCTTGTAGGTTTATTCAGGACTGGATCTTCAATGGCATCTGCCGTGATGGGTATGGAGAATTTATGATCACAGCCAACGATGAGTATCTTCAATACAGAGGTAAGAAAATATAATCATATGAGCTGTCATGATGGAAAATAACTAAAATAATAACTACTTTTAAGATCATACAAAATCACCATTGCATTTAAAATATTTAGTTGATAATGTCAAGCTAATTTTTTATCTATATTTTTAATTTGTAGCAGTTATATTTTTGAATCTCATTTGTTTTGTAATTTGATACGGACATGTTATTTATATATATAATTATATAAAAATAATGGCCTGTACAAACTTTTAAGTATTGGTCTTAATTTCCAGACAAGTACTATTGGACACATGGTTATGTCATGAATACAGAAAATAGTAGCAGCAGTGTCCCAATGTTCCTGCAGGAACTAGCCAATGGTATGTATGTGTGTGGAAAGACTCTGAATTTGATGAAGCTATGCTGTCCTGGGGTGAGTAACACTACATTAATCCTGTTAAGCATAGTAAACAAAACATCCTTAGCTTACAGTTTCAGTGATTGGCTATGAGGAAACACATTGCTATTATTATTTTTCTGATGGAAGGTCTTTCTTATGATTTATAATTTATCATTCAACTGCAAATTTGACTTCTATGAAGTTAAAATAATGAACAGTAGGCTGGATGAATTTATATTCTCAGTCATTTTGTATTGTTTAATTTAGTTAAACCAATGAAATGAATCACTGTGGCTTTCTTATGTATCAAATCTAAGGCTTAGTTCACACTGAAGTTGAATGTGACAAACTATATATTGACGCTAATTATTAAACTGAGTAATTATCAATCATAAGAATGTGGCTGTGTTGTATACTTTAGTACAGAGAAGCTGTAATACCTTTACTCATAACTTTGGCAATTAAGTCAATTCCAGTAGATGGCCCATCGTTGTAAGTTTTGCTGGTTTTGATATGTGATAGTGTATACGCATAATGTTATGTTACTCAATGTGTTTTCTTTATAGCATTTTTTATGCAACAATCATGTGCCAATTCCACGACTCACTCTGACGTTCTCTCTGGAAGAGTTAGAACGCATTGATAAGGAGACGCATGTTTACACGGAGCGAATGCACAACATAGCCCGACGCAACACTGTGTCGAAGGAGGAAAAGGTATGATGTGGGTGGGTTGTGAATTATAATTTACAGAGCTGATCATTTGGGAGTGTTTAATGTCTTAGTGCTTAAGGAGGGAAGTTTTAGGAAACAAGCTCTTAACATCGTACAAATGTTTGATAAAAGTCTGATAAGACATTTTTGCTCTGATCAGACATTTGAGTGCTATGTACTCAAATATTGTACAGTAAAAGTCTGATAAGACATTTTTTTCTCTGATCAGACATTTGAATGCGAGGTACTAAATATTGTACAGTAAAAGTCTGATAAGACATTTTTTGCTCTGATCAGACATTTGAGTGCTATGTACTCAAATATTGTACAGTTGGATACAGTGAATAGGACTGAGATTTGTGTAATATATTTAATACGAACAATATAAATGTCATTCACATTTTTACTATACTTTTGGTTTTTGTTCAGGAAACTAGGTTGGAGAAGGCACGAGAAGATCTGCTGATCCAAGCAAGACGGACTGCTGTAGATGAATTGAATAGAATAAGAGGTAATAAAGAAATCTGTAAACATGCAAATTCTCTATTTTAATTTATTTCAACTATTTTATACTATTTTACTTTGGAATAATTTATTTATTTATTTTTATATATTGTATGTTTATCTTACTTGTTCTGTTCTTATGTTTTATGTAGTTTATTAAAATATCTTTTTTTGGTTCTCTATTTTTTTCGTTGCATAGATGCTATTGGCTCTGCAAGTTTAATAAAAAAAATATGTTGGTAATAGTGGATTTTGCCTGTATGTTTCAACCTTGTTATTTGGTCCATCCAGCACTTATGTTTATATATACTCAATTCTGTGAAGGAATATTCCTTAATTATTTCCACTTGGGCCTGACAGTCATGATGCCAAACACAGTAAAGTTAAAAATATAGATTATAGAAGCATGTATTTTATATGTATTATTATACTATATGTATTATACAATGTTGCTTTATTGACAGGTGAGATGAAGCAAGTTAAAGAGGCAGCAGATGAAAAGAAGAGGAAAGAATTAAAGGAGTTAAAGGAACAAATGCAGCGAGATCTGGTGGTAAGGAAAACATTGAATATGAAGTACCTGAAATATGGTCCCATTTGTGTTGAGCTAGGAAACTTCTACAAAATTTAAATATTTAAATTGTTTTTTGTATGTTTAACCACCCTTGCCTCTCTGATGGAGAAATGAAGGGTATTGCAGTAGCATGTTGTTGTCTGTCTGTGTGCATGGTGTGTGTGTGTCCTTCCTTCCGGGCACATAACTCAAAAACGACTGGATCGATGTACTTCAAATTTTCACGCATTGACAATGTTACATATATCTCATGCTCTCGGAAATTTTGGTGCTGATCTGAATTAAGATGCAGATTTTAGAATAGTTGTGTCTTTATTTCTATATTTGTTTCTTTGTTTTAAATGTTATTTTTTATTTCATGTACATAGAAGCTTTATCTTGAATTATGCACTATACAAGTGTTATTATTTATTAACAGGTCGAGGATTTGTAATCTCAGATTATCTTGTTAACTCTAGGCTTTGTATCCCATTATAACATTTGCTGGTCGTAAACTTTTCATTGGAAAAAGCTCTGTAAATTGGGAACACCCTATGTTCACTCTGTCTTATCAGAAATTCTAATTGATAAAATAATTATTTTATTTTTTTGTCCTAAACTGCAGAGACGTGCAATGAAAATTGAGGAAGAAAAGGAGACAGACCGAAAGGAGATTGAGGAGCAGGATCGTATTGAGAAGGGAATTGCGGACATAGAAGGAGAGTTGGAGAGTAAGGCAAGGTGTGCTCCATTTTTTAATACATTAACTGTTTATTTTGTTCAACAAAGGTGGAGATTAACTATGACATAGGTGGTCTATACTGCATACTTAAAAAGTGTTGTTTAGAGGATTTGCGTTTGATAGTAACTTGCGTTGTGTGGAAATGTGTTTGGTACAGTGCAAAACCAATTAGTGTAGAAGAATATTATTATCCATTTCATATAATATAACTTTATTTTATCAATGTACATTTATACATTAAAATTTGGGTTGGCTCTGCGTAATGCTGCAAATACATAGGTAACACAAACATGTGCACACTTACAATAAATGCACCACATAATTTTAATACTATAATTTTTTTTAAATAATTTGGCAACAAACAAGTTTCTTTCAAAATCTTTAGAAATAATATTTCGAAACTCGCCCTCTTATCGTCATTCAGCATTTTCTATGCCAAAGATGAACCCATGTGGACACCCCTTAATCTGTAAATTCTTCTTGAAACTACTGTTACATGGAAGTAATTTTCTCCTCAAAAATGTAAATATAATAAAATTATTAATTGTATATAAAATAATGTAATTTCAAATAAATTATCAAAAATAATTTTTCAAACTGCCGAGACGTGGAAGTAATTTTCTCCTTAATAATAAATAATAGTAACTGCTACTCATATATTTTTTTACATTTGTGTCGTCCTGTAAACCTGTTTTTGCAAATGTCCCTCTTTGTCTCCCTAGCATGTCCTGTTATATGGACGAATCTAGGGCGTCTGTGTTCATTTAATGATTTGTTTTTCGTGATGTGATCTGTCTATTTTTTTAATGCTGTATGTTTTCTTTATTGAATCTGAATAAAGTGATGAATAAAAAAAAGTAGGGCCTTAATGGCACAAGGAATGAAACTATCCCTAAACCTACTGGTACTCGTTTTCAGAGACCGTTACTGCTGACTACTTCGCATTTTATGAAAGAAGGAATTTGCAGAATGGAAAGTATTGCACCAATCAACTGTCTTTTTTTCTTGATAGAGCTTGTCAACTGAACATTGGTCAATACCGATAATACGAGAGACAATCTTAACTACACTACATAAAGGC